AACATTTTGATCTAGACTACCTGACACTGAAGACAAATAGTTGGTGGGAGTAATAGACAGAATGAAATAGCCTTGTACATAAGGTACGACCTTCAAATTCACACATGGCCCTCTTACACACCGATGATACTTGTTCAATAAGATTGTTCGGCGTCTTTTAAATGAAGCATATACGACTAAAGTGAAATTAGCATAATACACTCGACATGACGAGGGTATGTGAGTGTTTGTCTATATGCATCATGCAAAACGAACGTGTTAAAGTGGCTTAGTGCAGAAGCGTTGCTATCGCGCCTTAAACATCAGTCAATCAGCAGCAACACAGTAACAATAAAAAAGATGAAATAAAAGAAAAGAAAAGAAAAGAATTAAATTTTATTTTAGTTTTTCTTTTTTTTCTTCTTCTTCTTCTTCTTATATTGATTTTGGTGTTCACCGGATATATGTCAGTTACACCTGTCCATAGAATGCCCTTTTCAAATATCATCATCATTATTTCATCATAATTGATTATATCATCGAATAGCAAATATATATATATATATCCTTATATATGTGAATTTAATTGTGCTGCTTCCTACTTGAGATTCACCGGTGAAGGTTTTTTTTTATTATTATTACTTATTTTTATCTAATCTACTTATTGAAATAGAAATAATCAACTTACCATATCATTTTTGTTTTCAACAAAGACACTTAATTTTTTTAGAAATGAAACAACAAGAATAAGTAAATCATTATTATCACGATCAAGAGCATGAATAAGTTGTGTAATTATTGTTTTATTACGCATTTTTAATTCAACTTTAAGATCTTCCGCTAAATTTAATAATAGATAGAATGCCACTAAAGATAAAAAAAAAAGATAGAATATGATAATTGATTTAAAGAAACAAACAAAAAAAGAACATATCAATATTTTTTACCTCGTAAAAATTGTTCCTGTTTTCGTATGAGTACTTTATATTTATTGTCAATAGTAATGTTTGCACGAGTATCACGTTGTTTTTTCTTTTGTTCACGACCCATTTCTTCCATCCATTGATCATATTTTTTCATTTCAGCTTCAATAATCTTTGATAAGACAACAAGAAAAAAAATTTCTTTTTTTTTTTTTTGTGTGTTTATATTTATATAAATTCTTACAGTCATTGTTTGTGCACCAATACGATATTGTGATACAAGTGGATGAAAATCAGTAAATGATGAAAAACAAAAAAATATATAAACTATATTTGTTGCTAATTCAATACTTTCATGCCATTCTTCTTTATAAACACGTGTTAAAACATTTAAAACACTTTCTAAATATTAATGAATAAATGATATATATGTAAATTAATATTTATTTATATTTTACCCTTTTGTATAATCTCAGAAAGATTATCAGGATTTCGTGCTAATTGTAAAATAAGTGCTGATCCTTTTATTTTATCTTGAACATTTTCATATAACATTTCAGCATAATCATCAATATCATTTAATGATGCTGTTTCATTAATTTGTGTATCAATGGATGGTTGTTCAAGTTCATCAGATATTGGTTTTTGTGAACCACCTGTTGTTGAATCACTTGGTAAATTTGTATCACGACGATTTTGTAAATAGAATAATAATTGTTCAACTTCTAATAATTTTGTTGGATGAATTAATTTACAACGATTAATTACTTCTTTAGCTAATGCTCGAATATCAGTTGATGGACCAAGACTTTTCACACGAATTCTATAAATAATTAAAAAACAAAACAATATTTCTTTTTCAATAAAAAAAAAAAAAAAAAGATTTAAATAATGTTAATCACTTGCAAAATATAATCTAAAGAGATTACTTAAAGGTTAACAATGAGAAAAAATCATGTTTTTTCTCCTATAATCTTTGATGAATATCAAATATTTGATTTTATGAACTAATAAATCTTAGATTTGTTTCTATATAAATAATTTTTTTGTAGTATGAAGAGTCATATTCTACAATCACATTATCATTTAAAAATTAAATAGCCTTATTTGAATTAAAAAAAAATAACATTATTGAGAGCTGTTTAAAACCCCCCAAAAAAGCTTTATATTAATTGAAACCATCGCCAAGATTTAAAACTATCAATAATCAATATTAATGTTAAGTAAAAGATAACAATCAAACTTCTTCTATGAGTTGTTACTAATAGAAATATGTAAACATGTTTTTGATAAATTTAAAGTCAATAAACTATCGGTATAGCCAGCTATCGATCACCTACACATAGGAAAAGTTCAGACTTAAAAATGAAGAAAACTGAGATTAACATTCATGTGAAACTTATTCTATTCTTGAGCAACATTGACTGCTCTAGGTAGACTAAATCTTTCTTAGAATATATAACTCAAAAACTTATGTAAAAGATAATAGTGAAATACATCATCGATAGATATGGACAAGATGGTACTGTTCTTGCCAAGATTGAAACCAGTACTTGTTCATTGTGAGTGATATTTTTGACGGTCGTGTAAGACTTACGTAAAATGTCAAATTCTCACGATTCGCACGTTCTAAAAGTTTATATAACACTTATTGGCACAACGATCACTTCAATATTTACTGGTACAGTTTTGATGGTAAAATAAATACTTGTTTTTTCTCATAAATCCAGAGTTATTGAATACATAAAGTGTTACGAAGTATTACTAGATTCAAAAAGTAGTAAATCTCTAAGAGGGAGGATATTAAAGGTCGTGTGAGGTGTCTCGAGTTCATTGACACAACTACATCATGATATATCACTTTTTGCTAGTACATATATTTCTAAAGGTGAAACTAGGATCAGAGATTTTTCTAACCGAAAGTGAGATCAGGATAAAAAAATGCTTGATTCCATTCATCACTAATGATTAATCAATAGAAAAATATTCTTTAATTAGTTATAAATCGATCGAATACGAAGTACTCTTTCAACATACGACTCTTCGTACAAATGTTAGATATTTACAAACTAAGATAATGAGTTGAAAAATGATCTCTACTTTTTTTTTTAAATTCTATAGAGGAATCCGCTTAGAGTGTGTTTTGTTTGCTCATGAAAATTTATTCGTTGGACTCAAATGAAAAATATACCATTTGATGCAAAACTCGATGCTGGTGACAAATATTTGGTTGCTTTTAACTTTTTTGTCCCTTTCATCCTAGTTCAAACTACGTGTTTTTGAAAAAGAATGAAATTCCGTCATGAACACTATTTTTATTTTGTTATTTGATGAAGTTATGCTTGTTAAGAAATGCTCAGATATGCTGAAAGGTCGTTAAAACCCGAATAAATTTTGCATAAAATTGTAGTTCTATATCAGTTTTGTTTCGTAGAAAAATGCTAAACTATCAGTTGAACTAAAAATTCCATTTTTTGACACTTCGTAATGGCCGATATTTTATGAATAGTGACGCTAGAACTATAAGAAAAATCAATGAAATTTTTATTGATACGAGAGATCTAAATGACATTGATCCATCATAGAAATTTTGAAGAATTTGATTTTGCTATTGACGAGAAATAGATGTTACAATGTCAAAAAAATAATGAAATTTCACAACGCCTGGTCACATCGTCGTTTAACACTTAAGGGCGTCCTCGGCAAAAGTTAATTTTTATCAGAAACATCGAAATTAAAATAAATGCACGAAAAGATAGTTTGAACTTGGATCTTTCACAAAGAATTGTATATTTTTCATTGTTTTTTTTCTACAAATTTTCGCCATCTTTTCCTTGAAAAATATGCTCATTTTTCAGAAAAAAACAGAGTACATTTTTCGTTTTTTCTCTGTTGATGTATTTCTGATAGTGCGGCCTAGAATTCTTGGAATAGTTCCATTGTAAACTATCGATCCTTTTTTTATTTGAAAGAGTATGCAAATTTGAAGTGCCTGGCAGAACCCATGTTTTGAATTAAAGTTTTTTTGTTATAATATATTAAAAAACAGTACTTCTATCAATAGAGGACAAGGGGGAAAAAGCGGACTTCTGTACTTCTTGTACTTCTTCGTACTCCTTGGTACTTCTCTGTACTTCTCCGTACTTTTGTACTTCGGAAGTACAGAAGTCCGCTTGTTCCCCCTTGATAGAGGACCATTTTTTTACCAGATATGAAAATTGTCATCTTTGTTCTCTGCATAAAAATAAGCATTTTAACAAAAATGTATTGGAATCTGACATTTTCTTTCAAATGAAAAAATGACATCTATAGAATGAACGCTGGCAAGGAACTTCTAGTTGCCAAATGATCTATTTTTCATTTGTATATGTTAAGTATCTTTCGAAAACATCATGGTATATGATTGAAAATTTCATGCAATTTGAATTTACTTATCCCAAGATCGGTTTATGAAGTAGAGGCTTTAATAGTGTGTTTTTCATATAAAAATACTCACATTTTCTGTGCATCTTTCTTGTCTCCAATCATCGTATTTTGATATTCATCGAGCACTGTTGCTTCAATTGAATAATTAACAATAAGTGCTTTTTCAGTTGGATGAACATCAATCTGACCACCACGAATACGTCTGTAAAACGAGAAAAAAATTGACTCTCAGTTTATGTCAAAAATATCAAATCATATAAATATGTTATTACTAATCTTGAATAACTGACCTCTTGAGATATTTAGCATCTTCAGCTGAATATAAAGCCATTGTTGAAAAAATTATCTAGAAAACAAAAATAATCAAATATCTTTAGAAGTGTTAAGAATCATGTTTTTTCTTCTAAACAAGCAAGTGTCAATTCATTGGTTGTTAACATCGCACCATGTTGCTAAGTAGTTGTCCTTTATTTGATAAACGTAAAATACTTTGATCTATTCATACAGAAAGAAAATTTTCTTATTATTCAACAATAAAAAATTCATAATATTTAATTAAGACGATTCATTTTCCATCATAGAGGTTTTACTATGGTTAATCAGACGATGATGGTGAAAATGCCGGTTGGTTGAAGACGAGTACAAAAAAAGATTAATTGATTTAATCTAGTAATGGCTACTACAACGACTGCAGTACCACCTTCCATTCTTAAACCATCAGCTAGTTCACTAGGTTCTTCCAAATGGTCAAATGATCCTTCTGCTATTGACAAATATAATTGGTTATTACATGTTATGTATGGTCGTGGTGAATATGATCGTATTCAACAATTTATTCGTATTCAACATCAGAAAAATGCTTATATGACTTATATTCAAGCACTTGTCCATCGACAAGAAGGACGTATTGTTGAAGCACTTGATCTATTTCAAACATGTGTTGTTGAAAATCCATCTTTAATTAATATAAAACAAGTTGCAAAATCTTTAGCATTACTTGGTCGTTATCGTGTTGCTATTGATGCATATAAAGAAGCTTTAACAAGAGCAAATAATGATTGGGAAATATTTCATAATTTAGGTTTATGTTATACGCAATTACGTGAATTTACAGAAGCAAAACAATATTTATTACAAGCATTACAAGTTTCAGAAATTCAAGAAGCATCTTATTTAGCATTGGGAAAAATTTATATGTTAGAAGGTGAACGAGGTGAAGCTGAAGCCATATTTGAACGAGGTGCTAGACGTAATCCAGAATCACCAACACTTTTTACTCAACTTGGTCTTTTAGCTTTTGAAGTAAACATTTTATTTAAATATTTAAAAAAAAACAAATATTTTCTTTTCTAGAGAGCTCATTATACAAAAGCATTTGAATGTTTTGGTACGGCATTAACATTTTGTCCAACACATACACCTGCTATAATGGCAGCATGTCAAGTTATACAAAAACATGGTGATGCTGATGTTGCTTTATCAAAATATCGTATTGTCTATGGACGAAAACCTGAATGTGCACAAGTATGGAATAATATTGGCATGTGTTTTTTTTCGAAAAAAAAATTTGTTGCTGCTGTTAGTTGTTTAAAACGTGCCAATTATTTAGCACCATTTGAATTATATATATTATATAATTTGGCACTTGTACATTTATATTTACAACAAAATGCATCAGCAGCAATTTTTCTTCAATCAGCAATTCGAATTAATCGAAAACATGCACCAAGTTATGCATTATTAGGTAGAAGATCTACTAGGCATTTTAAAATATAATGTGTTTCATTGGTTTTTTCTTGTATAACTTTTAATAGAAACATCATAGAAACCTGCAGCCATTGAAATTTGATTAGTCGATTACTGACTGATCAAATTTCAATTGATTCCGAGTTTTTTCTTTTGAATGATGAAAACTCATTGGTCTCTACAATGTTTCTATCAAAATTTATTCAAACAAACTGTGAATTATATTATATTTTGAAATGAACAATCGATTTAAAAATAGATTATTAATTTTTTATATGTAAATATAGGTGTGGCATTATCAAAACTTGATGAACCAGAAAATGCTTTACGTGCTTATACATATTCTCTTAAACTTGATCCAACAGATCCAATGGCTTTACTTAATTATGCTATTTTTCAAAGTAATACAGGTGTACCTAAATCAAAAGTTGATACTACTCTTCAACAATTTTATAAGAATTATACGGAACGAGCTACTTCAATTAATCAGCGTGAACTTGATGAATCCATGTTAGATATTGCTAAAAGACTAGTTGCTCCAACTTCAGGAGTTCAACCACAATCAACATATTCATCACAACCACCACCACCACCACCACCTGTTCAATATGAACAAGATGATGTACCAGCATCATCAACATCACTTTTTTCACCACGAAAACCACATGAAGTAAAATCAAATGATGAAGATGCACCTGAAAAACCTGTCCAAGAGGTACCTTTAATTAAAACAAAGATTTTTGATGATGGACGTCATAGACAGAGACGAACAAAACAATTATCTACTGCATCAACGAATGTTCAACCTGTGCAAAACGAAGAACAAGATGAATCTACAGTTTTCTAATTTTTTGTTTTCTTTTTTTCTTTGTGCAGAATCATTTATTTTATGAACAACACTTGTTATATAACACATTTATTTCGTTTTAATTAACTTTGTGAATTAAACTGCTCTAGTTTTATATTTTGATGATATTATAAATAATTATAAGCAAAAAAAAATTTCCAATTGTGTTATATGCATTCAAAGACTTAAATCTTAATCAATCGAATAAACCAATTTTTATTATTTACAGATTTTTATATCATGTCATTCCGTGTTGAAACAGCTCCTAATCAATATACTGATTATCAAATATTTTCTGCTGCACAATTTGATAATATTGGTCGACAGTTTCTTTCTCTTGTTAATCCAAATTATGGAACTGTTCCAAATGAAAATAAAACCGTTCCAACTGAAAATAAAACCGTTCCAAATGAGAAAAAACCTGCTTCAAATGACAAGGAAACGGTTCCCAATGAAAATGAAACTGCTACAAATGAAAATGAAACTGAAACTGTTCCAAATGAAAATGAAACTGCTACAAATGAAAATAAAGCCAGTACAAATGAAAATGAAATTCCTACAAAGCAAGATGAACCAATCCCTAAAAATATGATTCAACAACCATCTGATCTTTGTCGACCTCGTCAGCAACAAAGCTCATATTACATAGCTAATCAAGAGGTAATCAAACAGATTGAAGAAAATTTTATTCCACATCAATCGACTTTACCATATATGTCACCAACAACAAATAATATTGACACTGATAGTCAATTAACAACATCAATAGCAGATTGGCAAGCAACAAAACAATCAACAGAATCTACACGATATCTTTCATCACAAATTGTTACAATTGTTCAATGTCGTTCAACATTATCATCAGTTTCTTCTTCATCACTATCACCACGAAATAGTCGACATGCTGTTCGTTTATTTATTAATTCTCAAAAGCAACAACAACAACAACAACAACAACAAATGGATACATTTTTAGATATTGTTAATGAAGCACTTTTACTTGAACCAAATACAATTAAAACATTATGGGATACAAAAGGTGAACAAGTAAGAGAAATAAAATATAACTGTTATTGTTACAGTTATTTTCTTTTTTGCTAATATGTAATTAGATTACTGATCCGATGGATCTACTTCGTCGTGGTCGTCTCTATTTTGCATCTCGTGATACCAGTATTACTCTCGATGAATTAAGAATTTCTGACAGTGATCTTGCTTCAATCAATCGACTTGAAATCGTGCGTAAACAATTGTCTCAACCGGCACATTTTGTCGAAAAACCTGTTAGTAAGGAACAAATAAATATTCCATCGCGTAAAAGTACACCATTTGATGCTGATGAACGACGTTCAGCAACTGTACAAGCACAAGCTATGGTTTATAATGATCCACAAACATTTCCTGAAGTATTTTTACGTCATTATACAGTTGGAGAAGTATTAGGTGATGGACGATTTTCCGCAGTTTTTGAATGCCAAGATAAAGCAACTGGAATTCAATTAGCATTGAAAATTATTGATAAAACTAGATGTAAAGGATATGTAAGTAGATTAAAAAATATTATTTTTAAGGTTTTCTTAAAAAAAAAAGTTAGTTTCTGTCCGATTTATTAAAATTACGATACAAGTACAGACAGAATATTCTTACTTTTCTGCTGTCTTTTGGTATAGTATGCTACCTACTGATACACTTCTTAGCCTAATATTAGCCATGGGACTATGATTATTTGTAGCTTTGGAGAGAACGCCGGTTTGAGGCAATCCTTCAGCTTTCCATACACATTAAATAATTACATACTAGCCACGAAATCAGATTTATGTCACGGTTTAGTCAGCATGCTTAAGAATGGATGATCCAAGGCTAACAGTCGTAAATGACTTGTCCACAGCCATTTCATAATCGGCAATATCAAGGTTTTAACATAGTGCCTATGAGATAACAGCCAAACCATGTAGCCACTCAGCCATGGCGACTGCAAAATTAACATGGATGCGTGAAAAAATTTTCCAAGGTCTGATCTTTCATAAATCACATGATTTTTTTCTATTCGACATTTTCTTTTTTGAAAAAATTCGTTCATGATTTTTGTCATCACCTTATTGAAAATATGATGTTTTCAGAAAGAGTAGGAAATTCTTTCTGTTTTTTCTCTGTTTATTCTTTTTTGATTGAGTATCCCAGATTTGTCCAGGAAGTTTCATTGTCACTACTCACTGTTTTTTTCTGTTTAAAAGAGGATGTGAAGCTACAATGCCTAGCACAGCACGTTTTTTTTTAATTAAGTTTTTATTATTTTATAAAAAAGAAAAGTACTTCTATAAATAGATGACCAGTTTTTTGAGAGTTTTTCAAGATAATGAAATTCTCTTCCTTTTTCTATGAATAAAACATAAGAACTTAAAGAACAAGGACTATGTCAAACACTACAGCCTTATATGTTTTTTCAAATGAAAAAAAAATTATAGATATAGAAATCTCTAGAAAACGTAATGATCTAGGGTTGAAAATTTTAACAGAATCTCTCCACAACAGTTTCAACATGTCTTGAATAATGTCATATGATTTGAATATAACTGTCTCAAAGTGGATTTCTAAGGAATGAAGGATCTTGATTATTGGAAGAAAGATAGTTTATTATTCTAACTAAAAAAAGGAATTATTTTAGGAATTTCTTATTGAAAATGAATTATCAATTTTACGACGTGTTAAACATCCGAATATTATTAAACTTGTTGAAGAATTTCAAAATGAACTTAAATATTTTCTTGTTTTTGAATATGTATCAGTAAGTATGAATTTATTCAATGAAAAAAAAAAATGTTTTTTATCTATATAGAATGGTGATCTATTAAAAGCTGTGACAACAATGAATAAATATAGCGAACATGATGTTGCTTTAATGTTAAGTCAAATAGCTTCGGCTTTGAAATATCTTCATTCATTACAAATTGTTCATCGAGATGTTAAATTAGAAAATATTCTTGTAAGAATATATCCTAGATAATTGTATTTAATTGTTTTTTTTTCATTAGATGGCAAATTATCCTGATCAAAGTGTTACATTAAAATTAGCTGATTTCGGTTTTGCACTTTGCTTAACGGATCCAATACCGACTACTACATCACATAGTGATAGCCTTTGTGGTACTCCAATGTATTTAGCACCAGAAGTAATTCAAAATAGAGAGTAAGTCAAAGAATAAGAAGGTTCGATGGTGTAGTGGTTATCACGTCTGCTTCACACGCAGAAGGTCGCGAGTTCGAACCTCGCTCGAACCTTTTTTCTTTTTTATTTTCTTACAATCGCAGAATAAGAAGTGGAAATAGAAATGCTGTAGTCTAAAAATAGACTCTTCAAAAAAAAAAAAAATAATAAGATTGTCAAGTAACAATTAAATTTAGAAAACATTTTATCTCTCTGATGTTTTTAATGATGATGAGTATATTGAATAGTATTTCTATAACCTTGACGACAAATAAAACAAATGAAAATTTTCGAAGTTGTTTATCTTTATCAACGGAAGCAAGGTTATATAAAAAATTTTTTTTTTATAATTTAAGCTATCGAATTGAAAACGATATGTGGTCACTTGGCGTTATTGCATTTACTCTTCTCAGTGGTATGGCACCATTTGATGGGTAAAAGAATGATTCAAAAAGAAAAACAACAAATCAATTATAAGCTTTTTTTTTTGTTTCAAAACTATTTTAGAGATAATGAGGATGATATTATATCAAATGTCATTAATAAACCAATTGATTTTAGTCTTTTACCTAAAATATCAATGGATTGTCGAGAAGCTTTAATGTCAATGCTTGAACGAAATCCAAAAAAACGGATAAGTGCTAGTGAATTATTACAACATTCATGGATTAAAGTTTGTTTCATTCTATTTGAATAAATTTAATTGAAACTTCTATTTATAGAGTGAAATACAAAGACAAATGGAACCTCTTAATGAAGGATTAACAGCACGACGAAAGAAAGGAGCAGCACAAAAACAACCAATGTTGACGGTAATATTTAATTAGATGTACTGAAAATTAAAACAGATATTTATATGTGATATTTTTAGTTTTCATCGGTTGAATATTCTCATTCAATGCAAGCATCGAATGTTGGCGGTCTTCTTGGTGATATGGATGAATATTAGAAAAAAAATGATTTTTCTTTGTACTTTTTTATTAAAGAATCTCATTATACACTATACAACATTTTTCTGATTATTTATTATTAGATATCCCAAATGAATAAATGACTATTTCTTATTTTGTTTATGATCGAATAGTTTTTCTGTCATGAAACAATAGTTTGTGAACTTCTTCTATCCATAATGAATATTTAAATTTCGATAATATGATCTAGCAATTTTCAAAAACTGAATGGATTTGAAGTGATTGAAATAGATTTAAGTTCATCACAATGATTAAAGACTTTTTAACGATGCAGAAAGATGGCAATCGACATTTAGAATTTTAATAAATTTTTTTTTTCAATATCAACAATTTAAGACACATCAACACGGGAACAGAAACCTCGTTAGCGCAGCCATTTTGAAACTGAAATATAAAACTCATATATTACGTATAAGTTAGCCAATAATCTAGTATAATTCTTTTATGTACTAAAATATACTTCAGAGTTTGAAATTAGTGAAATAAAAGCATGAAAGGCTTACATAATGCATAAAACAAAAAGTAGCGTTGATTAGTGATGACAACAATCACAATGGATGAATTAATCGATGACTCTCAAAATATTTCTCACGAATTGAGGCAGTTACAGGATAGATAATTAATGACTAACAACGATAAGAAAAGAAAATACTGTCTCACTATTATTAGCACTCATATCAGCACCTTAATTCTACACTTTTTTTCCTTTGTTTACTTTACCAATCTCATATTTTTACCTGCGTAACTATAATCGAGAGCAGGATTTAAATGATTGGCTTATATATGTGATTTCTATAGAAACATCTTCTATGATCTTTAATTCT